CAATTGAAACATCTAGAATTGTCTCTTTCCTTTTAATTATGTTGTTCCTTGGTCTTTTAATTTATTTTTATTATTTATTTATTTATTTAATTATTTTTTGATCTAGTCAAGCGCGCGCTATTTATATTGTTCGCGTTTTTAACATTATTTCTTTTTTGAGAGTTATTGTCACTCTGCTGTCTTTACGTCCTTTTGGTACCATTATACACGACATAGCAGAAAAGTTGTGTCTAATTTTTACAGGAGCCTTTGCAAATGACAATGTCTTTTAATGACCCCCTTTTTTCTCAGATTACCAAACAGAGACCCGATAACCATCTATTTGACCACTTGTATCTTTAGTTCATAAATTCAACGATGTGTTCACCACAACATTCAACACAACGTGCACTCTGATTGGTCAAGAACTTATCATTTATCGAGCCAGTTAAGTGAAACATCTTCGTTTCCTGGAAAATGGCGCCACAGTCAGGATGAATTCCCTGGTTTTAATTCATTGAAAGCCTTTGGTTTGGAGGAAACAAAGAGCGCGCCTTGAACACTGAGAAAACAAAAACGATATGATCTTTTTGAACATTCATCAAATCTTGCCAACACAGTGCAGATTGACTGGCTAGTTACACTGCTTAAAGAAGCCTAAGTTTTTAATGTGCGGTTACAGTGAAAGAACTTTGGAGACCTTGGACTAAATTTCTCCAAACCTCTCGCCTGGGAAGGAAACGTTGCCACATTTTTGCTCCAAAATTGCTGTGGGGACAAACTCACAGGATTTTTATTTGAGTATCATTATTTCAAATTTTATATAACGTTGTTTAGGATATAGAGTTCATCAGTAGACATGGTGTAAGGCGTCTCCCTCAAGACTAAAGCTGTATTATCAATAAAACTATCATTATCATTATCGTTATCATCATCATCATCATCATCAACCATCAGACATTGGTTCTATGCATCAGCACAAAGAAAATCAAATGACAGTAAATAAATTTGCTTTAGTTTAAAGTTAATTAACACTTTTAGCGGTTTAAAGATGAAAGCAGAACCTTCTTTGAGTTGTGCATTTACTTTACATTAAAGATGGACTTTTAAAGGGATGACAGGATTTTCCATGTACAGTGTGAAGCGTGAGAAAGCCTCCAAAAACTGTCAATCACAACAAGGTAGAACAAAACTTTACTAAAATAGACTACCATGCTCCTTTTCAGTAATAAATAAATGAAATATATGTGTACATCAATGTACACAGTAGATAAACATTATCATAACAACAATAAAAACATACCGATGCTATACATCAAACAGCACCAAACTAAATATTTCTTTGTCGTTTATGGTACTCAAAATCACTAAAATTTTCGTTTAGATTTAATAGAAATGATGGCTGTGCTTTGGAACAGTGTTGTTATCAGAATAAGAAAGATGGTAAATTTCTCGTGTTAATTGAATTAATAACCCAGTAAATTATCATTACCAATTATAAATCTCACATTATTTCCCTCATTTTTATCATCATCTGTCTCTTTATCCAAATTGACCTAAGTACCTTTTTCATCCCCAGCTGACAACACCAACAATTAGATCATCATGCATTGTCTTTTTGTTCATTTAACAAATTGCATGAAACCTTAAAAGAGCCAGGATTGTGACACTTTTGGTATGAAGTTAATTGTCTTGTAATGAATGACGAAGTAGTCATCTACTTAGTGCCTTACTTTCTGGTAGCTTTTATACATTCCTTTAATCACTTTTAATAAAAACTGAATTCTTTATACCATTCAATGGAATGACAATAGCCAGAAATCCTGCATGTGGGCCAAATTTTACCACATTCTTCATGGATGTGAATTACTATAAGTATAACTAACACAAAAAAACATACTCACCCAAAATTGTGTTTAAANGGTATTGCCCTTTGAGTGCAAATCATAGCGTTTGCTTCCGATAAAAAAGAACTGGGATGGACTTTCACTGATGGCTACATGTACCTTGGGACTTTTTTTCAAAACACTGCAGCATTTGTACCGTCTGCAACTGGCATGGTTGAATTCATACGACTGTGGATAAATAGCAATCAGAACTAACCCAGAGAGAACATGATGAATTGTCTTTGCAATATCTGTTAGACGACAGCACTTTACCATTCGTTTCTTAAACTCCACTTCATATTCTTTGGCATCAAAGTTTCCTATTGGAATAGCCTTGCTGCTTGTGATGATAAAGTACTTGGTCAAGTTAGAGGTTTCACCAGGAGCATCATCAACCAAACAGCCCCACCCAACATGCACACCCTTCCGTTTTATTTTGCAAAGAGCTTTAGGCTTCTTTCTTCTTTCAGTTGGCTGAAACATCAGGGACCTAAACTGGTTCGGGCGGCTGTCCGTCATGATTTCATAGAAAGCCAAACTAACCTTTGGAAAATTGAAATAAAATATACAATTAACTCTTGCTTGAACTCAAATAGTGATTTGTTTGAATTAAATCTGCGAGGTTTATAATTCCCATATATGAAATCATATGATGAAATTTAATTCTAAATATAGTCAGAAAATAATGGTCCCATGCACGCCAAAATGGCCATCCTTTCATTTGATTATGCAAAAGGCTTTCTGCCTCTTTCTTGTATCAGTTGGCTGTAACAGTGGGGTTGTATATCTGTTCATTTTAATGTCCCTGTCCCCTATGACTGTTGCACTGTTTGAAGTACTATCACAAAAAGCCACACTAACCTTTGAAAAATTGAAGAAAAAAATATACTATAATCTTTCGATTTAGCACCTGGGCCACTAAATTAATCAAATTAACTTGCCATGAGAGTTTTTTGATATGTGCGCTATATAAATACTGGTTAAGTACTGGTTATCAATTATTCACTTTTGGTACCTCATGAGAGGGTGCTTACTCGAAACAGGGCACTTATCAGGGACAGGGCACTTAATCCTTTAGAGAAACAGCAGAATATGTGAAACAAAGTTTTGATGTTTTTTTTAAAAGGATCAAGAATACTGGAAAATGGACTTGTCCCTCGGTCCTTCCTGAGAAGTACGACCTACCAAGCATACGTGGCAATATTTTAAGACAAGATCATTAGTGTAACAGCTACTACGCCCTTATCACCGGACACTGATTGGCTATAAGCTTGATTCGTGTTAAACTGTAACAATGACTCTTTGACATGCCACATGTCTTAATATGTTACATTACAAATGAAAAGTGCTTCCTGTCTTGAATGTAATTTAATGCTATCTATGGCGTCCAGTCCCTCAAGGACCAGAGGCTGCTGACTTATTTCAATTAACTCCATACACCGAATTGAAATATGGCGTCCAATTTAAATTGCCATTGTTCTGGACTTATTACGTACCCTCTCACAATGAGATAATCCTTTTGTGTTTCCACGTGAAGACGAGGCTAGTAAGTCCAGAACAATGGTAATTCAAATTGGACACAATAAAAAAAATTATTTCGATTCGGTGAATGGGAAGAATATCTGAACTGGTAGTTCTTTCTTTAACTCTTTACAATATATGCATTCAAATTAGTTTGGTGTTGCAGGCAACACATTTGCCAATTGAAAATAAGAAATCATGATATTTTTAATGAACAAAGTTACAAAATTAAGTTGGTTATTTACTCATTCATATTTTTTCATATACCAGAGATTCACTGCTGCTAGAACACTTGCCCTAACTCAAAGTAAATTTCTGTTAACATTACTAGGGTCACTGAAGCAAAAGGAAAATTTCACACACACACAGTAGACAAGTCCAACTGTTATCATGACTCAGAGCGAATTGAAAAGTACAAGGTTGCCCGTCATTTTCTTAAATGTATAATCCCATCAAGTCAAGAAATCCTCCTTCCGAGTGTATCTGAAATCAATCAGCTGTTTACATGCAAGGCTGGTGACTGATTGCTCATTCCATGAATATATTATACTTCACAACAAATGAATACTTTTCTTTACCAACCACAATCTCAAGTGCAAGAATAAACTCTGGATGACAACTTTCTGACATCCACAAGCAATTATCTTTTTTCCACAACAAATAAAAGAGAATGCCATGTTACTTGCCCCAGTCTTTTGTTGAATTCACCTTTAGGGTTCTGGGTGTCCCCAGAATGTATACTGAAAACACTGGTGTTTTGGATGCGGAGAAACCCAAAATACAGGGATACCCAAGGTACTGAGACAGTGGCCATTTTTTGCTAAAAATACAGAACACTCACTTGCCTAAATTAAGCTTGCTCTGCAGGCTATGATAAACTCTTGGATTAATGCTGAACACAGAATATGATGACAATCTACACTGATTGAGCTGAAAAAGAAAAAAAAAAAACTCAACCTCTGGAAAAACTATAAATTGATGTTTGGGACTGCATGAGGTCCATCCATGGGATTAAAAATACTGAAGTGAGCGATGAAGTTTCAAACTTGATATCTCCCTTTATTGTAACTTTATAAGTTTGATGTTGATTCTTGTATTCAAATTAATTTTGTAAAGAATGCATTTGTATGGTACTTTTGAATGTAAGATACAGATTTAATATAAATCCAGTAGTATCAATCATTGCACTTATAACATTTGTAAGTGACAAAATAGTATTTTGCAGAATAAAATCCATATTTTAATCCTACCATCCTAAAAATGCCGGGTAAGTTTACATAAAAGTGAGATGTCAATAGTTCAATTTTTTCATTAGTTGGACTGTTATTATGGGTTACAAGTTCACTCCTTGGGGCCATTAGAATATTAGCTAACAGCAGTCATGTCCAGGCAATCATGTCCATATGGTACTTGAGGTAAATAGGGTGCTGAGAATTTTGCTATACATTAAGTTTTCACTGATTCTGCTGCTCTTGCTATTTTACAATCCTGTAAGAGGCTACACTGACCAGCAGCAAATTTCACCTCACAATGTTGACACATTATGAGTAAAACCATGACAATGATAATAAAAGTAAACAAGTAGATCAACCTGAAAGTTAGGTTTCTACTTAACGTAAATCTCTAGCCTCAAATGCACAAAAACAAGATGGCTGCCATGCTGAGTGTCAGACCGCTCACCTCACAAAGGCTCATAAGCCACAGGTAACCCATAGTAACACTGTAATAGTAACAAGACATAGTTATGATAAATCTTTAGAATGTTGAATTCAGTAAGTTATGAAATGGAACTATCCTAATTGTAATCCCTAGTAAAAAATTATCATGACTTTTAACAATTTTCTTCAATTTGCTGATGAAAGAAATGTAGAGGGGTTTAGTATCTTGTAGGGAACTTAAAGAGCACACGGAATCCGCATTCCCTCGCACACACCTTCTATATACATTACACAACCTCCTTCACGTGCTTCATGCTAATTAGATTACGTCATCACCGATACTATTACACAAACACTAAAAGGGGGACCAGTTAGTGTTGACTTTGGGGAAAAAAGGTTACAATTTAACTCAAAATACAAATCTATTTGAATTCAAAACTTACCTAACTGTACATAGTACAGAGCATCTCTTTGGCTCATTCCTCTCTAGGCCTGTGTCTTATCAGGCTATGAACTCCTACAAAGATGACAACAGCAACTGAAATATAAATTTATATTTATTCACTACTGGTATCATGCATGCAAAGGAAAGAAGATTATTCTGACAATTCCACTGTTAAAATGTGGAGGAAACATAAACCCATTTGGAATGTTGAGAACACTCAAAGGGCTTGTAAATCACTTGCATAAACTGTTTAAGTGATTAAGAAACATCTCTAAAATTATTCAATCTAGTTATTTATTTATTCCTATTTAGTATTTATATGCCACAAAAAATTACAAGTGAGAAATTTACAAATTATCAATCATTAATTACAAAAGAACTGCACTATTACATGAATTTAAAAATTTAATTGTCAACAAATTAAAAACAAGAGTTAAGCAATGAAATGAGGAACACAATACAAGTTTGGAGCTTATAAAATTTGGATTCCTGCACTATTGCCAGAAGTGGCTTACTTTTTTTCCTTGTAGGGCCTCGCAAAATGAGAGAATTCGGTACTAAACAGAGTCAGCCCGTGTAGTTCCTGTTCGACGCACTCAGGATCATTTAGAAACAGCAAACATTCATATTTATATAGAATTTGGAAAGAGCTGTAACTCAGGGACGGTGCATTCACTAAAAAGCTTAGAAGAATTTCCTTTCAAGCTTCAGCTCACTATCGAAAACAAATGAACTCGAGAACATAAACTCTCTATCCTATATATATATGCTATGAATATATGATAGATGCGGGGAAAGACATTCACAGAATTTAAGTTACCTTAGGCCAGCCTTGGTAAGTAACCTCTTAAGAACATTCCAGCGAATGACTCCCACGGAAAGTGTTGTGTTTAAGTGATTTTAACCTAAAAAGAAAGAAATATTTCCAAAAGAGTACGAGATGAACAATTTAGTAAATTAAACAGCTTGGATGTAACTGATCAAAAGATCTTTCTACTTCAAGAACACCGTTTCGTGTCATCTGACCTTTAATTCCCGTCTACTCAAAGGATACTCGATGATCACTCACCTTACTCTTCTTTAGTTTCATCCAGAAACGACTACGATCTCGCGATCGACTGATTGAGAGTAATAACCTATAACGAGACACAGACCAATCTCGTTTCCTTATTTGGCTGGAGAAAGGCGAACTTCCGGTTTAACTGTCCCCGGGTGCACCGGTCACCGATTGTTAGCCTTGAACCCCACCATGATCGCGCACTCCGAGCCAATGAAACGCGACGGGGAGGGGGACAGGAAGACCCAGTCCTATACTCATGTCCGAAGTAACAGATTTTAATGAGTTGCGTTTGGTTTGAAGGGAAGAAGGCTCTATAAATTAAGCTACAAAGGAGGATTCTGGCGAATGAATTGAAAAATAAATTTTCCTCTTTTCCCGTGAGTTTCCCCATACTTGCCTTACTTCAGGGTACGTACAATTAAAAATCGCTTCCGTAATTTGAGCGATGAGATATTACTACTATGAGTTACGATATATAACAGCCGCCTTCTAACGTCACGTAACCTGTTTGTGTGACTTGGAGATGGTGACCCCTCTCAGGACACACCTTATGTTATTGAACGGTCGTATTTTGATACCGTTCGCCGAATTACCTGCCAGTAGCAAACAGAAAACAAACTGCTTGGTAAGTCTGTGTTATCTGGTATGTATTTGAACTCGACCGAGTGCCGGGAGAAGCGAAAGAAAGGACAATTCCATAAACTGAACTGCTTCAATTATCATATTTGGCCGACTACGTTGCAAGAGAGAATTCAAAGAATCCTCATAAACAATATCGAACTAATTGGGAATCCGTTGTCACAAGAAGTAGAATATGTGGTATTGAAAATCTCATCGGTTCTGAAATTGGTGACGATGAATTTATTAAAAAGATCTGCTCTTTCTGTTCCTCTTAAACACACTGTACAAGAAAATAACTGTCAGACTTAGACAAGGTTTACACTAGAGGAAATTGTTCCGGATTCATGATGAATCCGAAACGTTTTAGTACCGGATTCATTCTGCCGTTTACACGAAAGTGGACAAATCTGAAATAAAAACTTCCCGGTTTGGTCGTGTCTCCGGAGATTTTGAATCCGGAATTTAAAGTGGGAACTTTGAATCCGATAACTTTTGAATCCGGAAAGTTTTGTCGTGTAACCGCTTTTTTTCTCGAATCCGGATATTATTTCCACCTGCAATCTTTTGAGTTTGCGGTGAAACCAAAATGGATCTGGTGCTAACATTGCTGGCGGTCTCCGGTTGCCTAATCTTGTTGCAGGTTCAGGCGATAAATTTTATCATGTGTACCGCAGTATTTCTGAAGAAACGCAAATTATTATTGCAAGGAAGTTTAACGTCAGCCACACTTAATCGCCGACGACGTAGACTGCTTGGCATCTGTCCAACTCAAATTTGCCTCCGTGGCATCTGGATCTATTCTAGCCTTTTTTGGGGGAGGCATTTTCACCTTGTCGATCGAACGACGAAACAACACTGGGCTTGGTAACCATTCCATTTCGAATGTTTCTGGAGTTGTCGTTGTGTGTAAACGGTAAGGAATCCGAATATCTTTTCAGTGTAAACGCCTACGAATCCGAATACTCCAAAATTGATGAATCTGGAAACATTCACGAATCAGGAAAACTCTCCTCTAGTGTAAACCTAGTCTTAAAGGTTTGAAGCTATCGCCTCGGAAACAATGATATCATGGATTGTTTTCTTTCCTAAACATCCCAGTTCGCTCTGACGAAGGGTTACGCTCGAAACCTCAGCTTCAAAACTCTTTACGGTGGCCAATTTACATTATAAACTCAGTTGATAAAACCAAAATCACCTTGTTATGCTCTCCACCGACGCAGCACCAGTTTCTTTACAAACGTACCCCCTTTATTCATCACCTCATCCGATGTCTTAAGGATGATTGAGACTCGTTGTGTAGTGGTCTGGTGTGGTTTAATTAAAAATCTCGTCAGTGAGACTAAAGAGTGGAGTTCGTGAGAAACAGAGAAAGTATTTGTAGCTTGCATTACATTTCGCGTGACAGGCAGCCGCACTTCTGTTTTGCTTGTACAGAATCCATGAATTGATTATTTAAGTCTAGTGAAGACATTTGTTGGTCCTATTGCACAATATCTTAGTATCTTTTAATAAAAATGTAGCCATGGTGGGCCGAGTGCGAGCTGCAAAAGCTGGTTACCTATAGTGTATGAGAGAAAATTAATTCATTTAAAACCCCGGAGATATTGAATAACTCCTTCTCCCGGAAACTTTAGTCATCATTTCATGCTCCTAAACTTATTCATCATCATTCATGATTTATTCATGCCCATGAAATTAACTACCGTAAAGTGTGCTATAAATATACGTCAGATTTGATCTTTTATGAGGCGACTCCAAGTAAATCACAGCTAATTGGTTAGATGAAACGAATTTCGATGACTTAAACTGATGTTTGGTTAGCGGATGTATGGAAGACTAAACATGGCCGTATTTTGTTCGCAATGACCGTATGAATGAGTCTTATTTAGCTCCTGTTCGGTAAAAACTTAACTCTTGGTGCTGAATACAAGTGCTCTAACACTTGATTTGATTTCATACATTTCTTCTTTATTTTATAAATTTCAACTTTATTCTATTTATTTTTTTTTTATTGATTTTCATTTCATTTCATTGCGGCAGTTGACGTCATTTCATATTAGTTAGATTAAGCACCGCGAAAGCGGCGAACGCTGAACGTTGGCTAGCCGTTTGTCGTTTGCCGTTCCGTCCGTGATGTTCGTCTGTTAAGCTTCCCGACGAGCAATGGGTGTCTCAGGAGACTTTCTGTCTTGCTTTACCAGCTACTTATGTGAGCGTCGCCAATTTGTCCAGTTATCTGGTATAAAGTCTGGACCCAGATTGATAAAATATGGTATTCCACAAGGATCTATACTGGGTCCAAGACTATTTTCAATTTATGTAAACGACTTTCCGGAGGCTGTTACTGATGGGGACCTATTTATGTGTTCCGACGATACCACCATCTTCACTATTGGTAAGGATATAGACAGTATTATAGTGGTTTTACAGTCGATTCTGGATCAAGTCCTTTCCTGGTGCAACTCAAACAGGTTGACTGCTCACGAGACAAAATCTGAGGCTTTAGTGCTGTCGAAACATGATTTTATTGGTCCCTTGCCACTATTAAAATATGGCCAGAGTGTCATCAAGTTTAAGTCATCATCTCAATGTCTCGGTCTTACCATCGATCAAGATTTATCGTGGAAAGAACATATCATGGCTGTCTGTAAAACGTTTAACAAGAAACTCGCTATATTAAAACGTATAAAATTCCTACCTAAGTCTATTCTAGAGTCTATTTATTTCAAGACTATTATTCCATCTGTCTTGTATGGGATTGCTGTATGGGGCTCATGCTCACTGGTCTTGATGGAAAAAATGGAGCGTGTCTACCTGCGAGCTACAAGGTTAATCCATAATCTGCCTAGGGACATCAATATGGACGACATGTGTAAGCT